GGTCAGTTGTCTGAGTCCTACCCTGATGCCAGGCTTGGTGGGGGAGCAGAGGGAGGAGACCAAGGAGATGGAAAGGTGGATACTACCGAGAAAGTCTTGAGGGAGGCGGGCAGAGTTTGTGGAGCGTGCAGCAAAGACAAAGGGATCCCCAGGAGTTAGTTGAGGAGATAAAGAGCCAAAGAATGCATGATCTCCGTGAATAGAAAATGCCAGCTTTAGGCTCTGAGAAGAGCTTGAATACTGTTAAAGGAACATGGGGGAAAAAGGAAGAAAGGATATGCAGGCACAAATTCCAGGAAGCATGGAAGGGTAGCAGCTCTCCATAGGTTGTTTCCATACTGGCGAACTGTTCTTACTGTATTTGTAGTATAGCTAAAGAGTAAATATTTCTTTGGGGGAAAACATTTCTTTTTAAGTAGGCACAAAAATGGAATGGTTTTTATTTTCTTCTATTAGTTTTACTCTTGTGAGGTGTTTTTTTTTTCCCCACCAGCCCGGTACCTCTCAACCTGTGTGCCAACAATGGGTCTTTTCTACCTTGGGAAATGGGACAGGGTAGGTATAGGACCCCCTCAGCAATGTCCTCTGCCTCTGAGCATCTTCTCCATTTACCTCAGTAATCATACCAACATCATCATTTTCAATGCTCACCATGAGGTGAAAAATTCTTGGAAGTACCACATTGGCTCAGTATCAGTGACTGCTAAGGCATTGGGCGGCACCAACCATAATGAGCCACAATCAACTCATAGATTACCATATTTTATTTATTTACACCCAGCATTGCATAAATGCCTGCCAAACAAGATGCAATCCAATTTCAAATATGAAGAAAATATGACAAAGGGAAATAAGGGTTGGAAAGATAAGAAGGAGCCAAGAGTGAGGTCGGTACACAAAGAGGCATGTGGGATAAACTGGCTGGAGGTTGGAAGGAAACACTCTGAGCTTTCTAGCTGTTGATTAAAAAAAAAAAAAAAAAAAAGACAACACAGTCAATTGCACATTGCATGTTATCAATAAGACAAAAATAAATTGGATATTCATAAGAAGCACAGCTATTCCTAGTACTAAAGTCCTAAGAAAAGGCATTATTTTTCATAATGACCCAAACCCTTCACAACATTCTTGCAGTGAATCCAAACACATGTGTTGTGGGACTTTCCTTCACAGTGTTGGCCAATGTACGTTCAGGGCAATACTCCAAAGTTCAGGCTGGGAGAAGTAGTTTGGGAAGGGATGAAGGTAGAGCCAGGAACGTGTCTGTGTGAGACGTTCGACATCACTGGGAACCTACAGAAGGCAAATGCAGCACCGCTTCCCAGCGATCACACTGACAAAGGCCATAAAGAATAATTCCAAAGAATGGGAATGCCTCATGCCCAGAAGGGTGTGTAGAAACCGGCACTTTTTACGTTACTGAATTGCTACAACCTTCCTGCATGGCCGTTAGGCAATACATACACACATACACAAAAACACATTAAGATGTGCAGTCTTGAGGAAGACTCTTTCTAGGAAGTTCACTGAAGGAAACAATCATGGGTGTGTCCAAAGATGTGGCTACGAGGATGTTGGTTGCTGTACTATGTCTGATATCTAAAAATGGCAAGATAGGAATCACACAAACTATAGTTCACCCATGAAATGGGATAGGCATTAAAAAGCATACTGAAGAGGGGTGCCTGGGCGGCTCAGTCAGTTAAGCGACCGACTTCAGCTCAGGTCATGATCTTGCAGTTTGTGGGTTCGAGCCCCGCGTCGGGCTCTGTGCTGACAACTTGGAGCCTGGAGCCTGCTTTGGATTCTGTGTCTCCATCTCTCTCTGCCACCCCACTGCTCACACACACTTTCTGGCTCTCTGTCTCTCTCTCTAAAATGTAAATAAACATTAAAAAGTTAAAAAAAAAAAAAAGCATACTGAAGAAAAAAAATAAAAAATAAGTCATGTTGGATGAGTTTTCCTGATGTGGATATGTATTTGTAATTAAGTAAATGAGATAAGTGTATTACCTTATAGTATGTATAATATAATCTTATTTTCTTAAAAGAGAAGATGCACACACGTGTACACACACACACACACACACATACACCCTGCTCCTACATGTGGAAAAATTCCCATAAAGTCTGTTGGATACAATGTCAGAAAGAAAAAGTTTGTAGTAACTTATGCGTATGTGTGGACGGTGTCACAGAACCATCCCCTGGGAGGTGTTAACCTATTATTCTCATAGGCAAGTTTCCTTTCTCTTTCTCACTCTCTTAATCCATGCTTTTTTTTTTTTTTAATTTTTTTTAACGTTTATTTATTTTTGGGACAGAGAGAGACAGAGCATGAACGGGGAAGGGTCAGAGAGAGAGGGAGACACAGAATCTGAAGCAGGCTCCAGGCTCTGAGCTGTCAGCACAGAGCCTGACGCGGGGCTCGAACTCACGGACTGTGAGATCGTGACATGAGCCGAAGTCGGACGCTCAACCCACTGAGCCACCCAGGGGCCCCTCTTAATCCATGCTTTAAAGGGCCTGACAAATCACTGGTGGAGCTGGGGAGGGAGCTGGGTTGCAGGAATGGGGAGAAGAGCTCAGGTTCTATTTTCAGGGTGGCCAAGAGGGGACTGCAGTTACCTGAGAAGGACATTAGCCTCCTTTGCCCATGGGCAGCTTCTTATGGTGTTTCCTTCCCAATTAACATTTGTCTTCTCAGACATTAAAAACCCAAATGCAAACAGGGTAAATTGGAAGATGAGGAAGAAGGCCAAGAGGAGCAGGAAGAGGAAATTGAGAAAAAGAAGAGATTCTTTAAAAAAAAAAAAGGGGGGGGGCGCCTGGGTGGCTCGGTCGGTTAAGCGTCTGACTTCGGCTCAGGTCATGATCTCACAGTCCGTGAGTTCGAGCCCCGCGTCGGGCTCTGTGCTGACCGCTCAGAGCCTGGAGCCTGTTTCCGATTCTGTGTCTCCCTCTCTCTCTGCCCCTCCCCCGTTCATGCTCTGTCTCTCTCTGTCTCAAAAATAAATATACGTTAAAAAAAATTTAAAAAAATAAATAAAGAAAAAGGAAGCTAGAAAGTCACAAGAATATAACTACCACATTGCCATCAAGGCAAGGAAAAAAAATGTGAAGGAAAAGGAATGGGGGATTAGTTAGAAATCTACTTAAAATCTTTGTAAGAAAAGATACATGAAATAAAATGGAGAACATTTAAAATAAAAGATAAAAGGCTCAGCTAACAAGATAAAAGGATACAAACATGAAAGCAGAAGAGGTAAAATGTTAAGATAAAAGGCTCAGGGGTGAAAAGCTGAAAATACAAAAGCAGGTGGGGTTGGTGATTACATTCAGGAATTCAGGATTGAAACAACTAGGCTGAAAATACGAAAACGAAGATTTCAAAAGTCCTTTATAGTTGAGTGCTTCAGGGGAATGATAGGTTTCTTGGTGGCTCCCACAAATTTTCTGGTGGCTTCTGTAAGAGCTGGCTCCTGGAACCTCCCACTGTCCAGCAGCAATTGTGGCAGGGACTGGTTTCCTGCTTGTGGGTTTCTTTCTTACCTGTGCTTCTAAAGATTCTGCAACCAATTCCAATGTGGGGGGGTTGAGGGGTTCCCCACACACCCAAGCACAGAGCTTCCGGACCCCAGCTGGGTGTCCTACTATTCAACTCAGTTCTGACCTTACCTACTCGGACACAGCATCAGATCCCACAGATTAAGCAGCTCAGCCCTGCCAGACCCCGCTCTGTGCACCCTCAACACTTCAATTTTTTTAATGTTTTTTGAGACAGAAACAGAACATGAGTTGGGGTAGGGGCAGAGCGAGAGGGAGACACAGAATCCGAAGCAGGCTCCAGGCTCTGAGCCGTCAGCACAGAGCTGACGCAAGGCTCGAACCCACCAACCGTGAGATCATGACCTGAGCCGAAGTCGGAGCTTAACCCACTGAACCACCCAGGCACCCCTCACCCTCAACACTTCAGGTGCCAATCTCAAATCCAGGTTGTTACCTGTGCTCCAGACCAACCAGCTGTAGATCGGAGGTTCTAACAATCCCTTCCTTCAGTTCAATTAATTTGCTACAGTGGTTCACAGACCTCAGAGAAACATTTTACTCACTAGGTTACTGGTTTATTATAAAAAGAGAGAACTCCGGAGGAGTCAGATGGAAGTGTTACATTGGGCAAAGTGTGGGGAAAGGGCACAGAGCTTCCGTGTCCTCTCCTGATGCCCCACTATCCCCTATCTCTGTACTTTCACCATAGAGAACCTCCCTGCACCGACTCCTTGTGGGTTTTTATGAGGGCTTCATTACATATGCATGGTTGATTAAGTCACTGGCCATTGGCTGTGGATTCAACCTGCAGCCCATCCTCTCTACCTGGAAGTAAGTGGGGTGCGAATGAAAGTTCCAACCCTCTAATCTGCTTTGCTCTCCTGCCAACCAGCCCCATCTTAAGGTGAGGCCCCCAAATCACCTCATTTACATAACATTAGCCACCTTTATCGCTCCCAGCACTTAGGAAATTCCAATAGTTTTAGGAGCTCTGAGTCAGAAATGGGGATGAATATCAGATATATAGTTCTTATTATAAGTCACAGCATCACATCCTCCATCGTTGTCATTTGGTTTGAATTGAAGAACCCAAAGTGCCCTTGCAGGCTCTTCATAGCTCACAGCTTTCAGAGCACACGCAGGCTCCTCACGTTATCCTGTCAGACCCAGCAGAGTCGGCACGGGGCCTAAGTCTTCTGGCCTGAAAGTTGAACCACACAGAGCAGCCTGATCGGCGTGCACCAGGCCCTCACGCCTATTTGCTGCTATACATTCCAATCCCTTCACCTGGAATGCCATCCCTCCCTTCTGTAGCCTGGCTATGTTTTACCTGTCTTATAAAACAGCTCGACTCATTTCTCCTGAGAAGCCTTTTCTGAATCTCACCACCATGTGTCTTCTCACCCCCAGCTTGGTTTGGTTTTCAATTACACTGCAGAATAATTGTTGATTTCCTTGTCTGCTTCCCCAGGAGATCAAAGGTCGGAGACACTGACTGCTAATGGAAGAACTGCTACTTGAAAAGCACTATCCGTCCATTTTCTCATCAGATCCTCAACAACTCTACAAGGTAGGCCCTGATAGCCACATTTTACAGATTAAGAAACCAAAACTTATTTATTTCTTTGGCATAGCTTCATTGACCTCCTACTTTGTGCCGGTTTAAAGCGGTTAAATAACTCACCCAAGGTCACTCGTTTACAAAGTTGCAAAGCCTTTTATTGAACTCAGGCTCATCAACTTCCAAGCCTGTGCTCTCACTACTGTGCTTTCTTCTTCTCCGCATAGATGAGGTGCTCAACGAATGTTTGTCAAAAAAACCACGAATGAACGAATGATTGTAAGCTCCTCAGGCAACATGCAAATGAGAGTAAAGGCTTTGGGGGTCCATCCCCACCTTGTCTGATTCACCTCCTCTAACAATTGGCTATGATACCACTCTTTGGAGGCACTTTGTCTGCATGTTTTGATACATAATGCTTTAAAATGAAGTGTGGGGCGCCTGGGTGGCGCAGTGGGTTAAGCGTCCAACTTCAGCCAGGTCAAGATCTCGCGGTCCGTGAGTTCGAGCCCCACGTCGGGCTCTGGGCTGATGGCTCGGAGCCTGGAGCCTGCTTCCGATTCTGTGTCTCCCTCTCTCTCTGCCCCTCCCCCGTTCATGCTCTGTCTCTCTCTGTCCCCAAAATAAATAAAAAACGTTGAAAAAAAAATTAAAAAATAAAATGAAGTGCTGCTGGGCATGTGTGTTAGAAAGATATCAAAGGTAAACACATAGGTTGCAATGAAGCTTTCCTGGGAATCTTCCTTTGAGAAGGCAAACAAGACATAGGCTCTAGACTTCTCAAGTCTTTGAGATTTCTAGGGTTCATTTTTATGGTGTGGGAGTGGAATGTATGGTTTAAGTAAACGCAATTAAATCCAAATTACCCGTGGCCAAGCGGCTACTTGCTGTCTTTCAGTGTGGGGAGAAGGAGGGCTTTTTAGGGCTAGAAGGTATCTGTTGAAAAGCTATGAAATCGCTTTGTTCCTTTTCCTTTTCGTAAATGTGCATCTGAAACCCGCCAAATTCCTGAGGAGGCTGCCATTTTATTTGTTTATTTTTTGATTTGTTAGTGTCATAGAGCATGAAATCATATTTAAAAGGCATCTTTCGTAAGAAAGATGCCCAGGATTTGTATTTTCAGAGTCCAAATCCAGAAACCAAACACAGCTTTTGCCTCTTTGGGGCATCTCTGTGCTCTTTAAAATATGCTGGTTTTTTTTTTCTTTTTTCTGCTAAAGATTCTTCAGACACAGAGTGCAGGCAATTTGTTGTGACTCATCGTGAGTTGATTTATGTGGAGATTGTTTTAAACGTAGTGTATCCCTTGGTACACAGTGTATGTGCCAGTGTGTTGTCTCCATATGGTTGGTGTGAGCCATTTGAATAAAGTACCAGATGGAAATCATCGTTCAGGTTATTCCTTTCCCATCACCTAAATGCAAACAGTAAAATGGGAAGTCATTTTCCATAGCTTCCAAAATACTACTACTAATAATAATAGTCTTAAAAATTCTGACAGATATCTTCAGATGGTATGGTATATAATGACCGTAACTGGTATAATGGGACTCTTACAGATGGCAGCCGAGTCAGATCAAACTCTTCATTAGTCCTTCTGAAAACTGTCATATACTTTCTCTTCTTTATGGTTCAAAACACAAAAGGCCCTTTGTGCCTTTAGAAACTTAGCTGCAATTTCAACTAAAAAGAGAAGCACATTAGCTGCTATTATGCATGAGCCATATCATCAGCATAAAAATGAATTTGTAATATTTTGCCACATGTGATGTATTATTGCTGGGCTATGTAAACAATACCGGGTCTGAAATCGAGCCTTGGGGACTCCCTTTACAACTGACAAATTGAGAAACAAGGCCATCAACTCTCACACATTGCATCCGGTGAGTAAATAACTCAGCCAAGATCCATTTCCAGCCCAGTCTGAGATAATCTCTGTCCTGTAATAATAAATCATAGTCAAGGGCGTCGGACGCCCCAGGCAGATCTATAAACCTGTAAACACTGCTATGCTACACAACTGATCTCTTGCAAAAACTCAAGCCAAACCATTCATGGGTTCAATCTTAGCATTGGTCATAATTACATTCACAGCTCCTGTCTGCCCCTTCAGACACAGCAGGGTTGCTCTTTAGAAATAGATCAAGGTAGTAGCCTTCCCTCTTTGTTGATTCTTTGGTTTTCCCCTCTACGCTTGTGAGTTCAGTGAGAGCTGGTATCTGCTCGGAGAATCAGGTCATGCAGACCCTGGACAAGCTCTATTTATTCCAGAGGAAGGAAGCAGAGGAAGATTGCATGGTGAAGTTGGATTGCTGAGGCAAATGATTCTCTGTCACAGGACCTGGAACAAAGGTTTGGGCCAGAAATGGCCTAGGGAATGGTGGGTCTGCTCAGTTCTGTCCCCTAATTGCTTTTCTTCCCTTTGCTTTCATGGCATATGTATGTGATTTCATAGGTTTAATCATCTGTTTAGTGCCTACATTGGGCACAACAGGACTGTTAATACTGGGTCGTATAGGGTCAAAGCTGATCCATAAAACTTAATGTTTGGCATTTCTCAGTCTGTATTTAGTTTCTCAACGTACCCTTAAATTCACAATAGAGTTTATGTATTGTTCCTTTCATACCTTTACTTATCAGCTGAATCTAATACACTCATGAGCTGAAGAGCCAAAGAGAATTTGGAGTTCTAGGGGAGGTGCCCAACTGCTTTTGTCATTAATACAGTAATTAGCATTTGTTAGACACATACAAAATTCCAGGCACTGTGCTGCTGGGCTTAAAATGTTCTCTCACTTAATCCTTACAGTATTCCTGTTGGTGGATGACACAATCCTTGTTTAAGAGAGAAAAAAGCCAGGACCCAGAGAGGCAAAGTAACTTGCCCAAGCACACACAGCTCGCTGAGTGACAGAGTGGGGATTTGACACTAGTTTAATGTGATGGTGGGCCCATGATCCTGGGCCGTACTGCTTCCCAAGAGCGCTATCTTAAGTTTACGTGACCTCTTCATCTTTAGGCTGGGTAGGCAAGTAGAATTTCTGCTAACTTCAGCCAGTTAGTAGTAAGTGTCTGGAATGCTGCTTTGAGAGAGATCCTTGTTGGGATCTGTGGTCGCTTAACAGTGTCTGCCGTGTGTGCTTGGGGGAGAACGAGCATCCCCTGGCCTTCTCCTCAGGTTGCCAGGAGACACAGCCCACCTCCTGGCAGAATTGTGCCTGTGTGAAATTTGTATTGGGTGGTAATGTGTATCAACAAGTAGCCTGATGCTTAGAAGTTCGTAGCAATGTATGGTTCACAACCGGTCGGGAAGAAACTTCGGCAAAAAGAACACTTTCCCCTCACCACTCTGGACAAACTATCAAGTTGTAGTCAATCAGCACTTCAGGGGCTCATTCTGGGAGGAAGAACACATCTGAAGGTACCCTGGAAATACCTAGGGTATCACACCCCAGAAGCATTCTATTTAGAGAACCACTACTTTCCTTTTTAAAAAAAGTTTATGTATTTTGAGGGGGCGGGGAGGGAGAGAGAGAGAGAAAGAATGAATCCCAAGTAGGCTCTGTGCTCTCAGCATCCCAACATGGGGCTCAAACACATGAGCTGTGGGATCATGACCTGAGCTGACATCAAGAGTCAGACACTTATGGGGCGCCTGGGTGGCGCAGTCGGTTAAGCGCCTGACTTCAGCCAGGTCACGACCTCGCGCTCCGTGAGTTCGAGCCCCGCGTCAGGCTCTGGGCTGATGGCTCAGAGCCTGGAGCCTGTTTCCGATTCTGTGTCTCCCTCTCTCTCTGCCCCTCCCCCGCTCATGCTCTGTCTCTCTCTGTCCCAAAAATAAATAAATACGTTGAAAAAAAAATTAAAAAAAAAAAAAAAAAGAGTCAGACACTTAACTGTCTGAGCCACCCCGGAACCCCTACTGTATTTTCTTTTTATACTCATGCTAGCTTTCCACCCCACTTCTTCAACCCTCCTCAGAACCAACTCACCACCCAATAGTCCAGTGAACAGACATCTGTACCAGGTACCCTTTTAAAATAATTTTTTTTCCCTTATAGATAATGCTTTGGTCTAGCAAACAAAATTAAATTAGTAATAAAATTTATTTTTGGATGTTTTATTAATCAAAGACTGTTTATCAGAGCTTCTGCTCAGAATACAACTACTACCAGTTGAGTAGAACTTTAGATAGTTTGCCTACACAGTCTTACCAAGGATCAACATGCAGCTTCCACCGGACTTTTTAAAGTGTTGGAAATTGTTCACTGATACTCATTACTGCCTCTGAAGACTTCTGAGAGGGGACATCTTTAAACCCAGTTTGAGAACCAAATCATTAATTCCTGGGTGCCTCCCTGCAAGTAGTTAATACCTGCTTCTTTTTCTTGGCCAAGTTTGGTTGTAAATTCTAGGTCCTTGCGTAGGATTAAACTCTCTATTTCAGATGCGTATGTGCATATGAATAATATCTTTAATTCTTTTTTTTTTTAATGTTCACTTATTTTTGAGAGTGGGGGAGGGGCAGAGAGAGAGGGAGACACAGAATCCGAAGCAGACTCCAGGCTCCGATCTGTCAGCACAGAGCCTGACACGGGGCTCAAATCCACAAGTTGTGAGATCATGACCTGAGCCAAAGTCGGACGCTCAACAGACTGAGCTGCCCAGGCGCCCCTAACATCTTTAATTCTAAGCTCTTAGGACTCACTGGGAAAATCAGGACACATTTAGTTTACATTAAATCACCAAAGGACTTGATTGATGAGTTGCTAACAGTGAAAGAGACTAGAACCCAGGATATTAGGGATCATTCACAATTTTAACAATTAGACCACACTTCCTCCAAGATATAATTTTTAAGACTTTTAAACAAAAATAAACAGGTTTTCTGGCTGCAAGATTTCATCATTTATTTCATTCTCAGTTTGCCTGGAACCCAGCCGTCCAGATGTGTCTGGGAGAGGAAAAGATGGTAAGACCAAATGTTGCTCAAAACCTCGGAGACAAGT